AAGATATTTTTGTAAATAGTATACGAGTATATCTTGAAGTTTTCTTAATAAATGTTTTAGTGTGCTTTTTAAATATGTGATTTTATTTACATATATTAATTTCAGTACATTGGACTATGATGAAACCTAAGTTTTATATATGAAATATATATGGAGACTTGTATTAGTTGTTAGAAGCTAATATTCTTCAAAGACTAAGCTACACTTAAAGCTACAAGTTTTTGTAAATATTATATTAGTGTATCTTGGAGTTTTGTTCAGTTTCAGTGTATGTGTTACTTATGTCTGAGATTTTACTTACATATACTAAAGACAGTAAATTAGGATATAATTAAAACTGAGTTTTATGTAAGAACATCACAAAACATTGAGTTGTAACTGACGATTTGTTTAATTTTTAATTGAAAGATAATTCATGTTACCGGAACAGTTTCAAAATCCACGTGAGGAAATATCTATTTTGAAATAATTGAAGAATAATCACTTGATTTATAGCTAAAGGTCCTTTTATGACTACGATTGCCAACTCTTTTTTTGGTTATGAACTATTTTCATTTGAAAAAATGTATTTGATGCTTTGGTAAATGCCCCCATTGGCAAAACGGTATGTCTGCGGACTTATAATGCTATAAACTGGGTTTCGATACCCATGGTGGCAGAGATAGCCCATCGTGTAGCCTTGTGCTTAATTACAAACAGACAGACTTTGTTAAACTAATTAGTTCAAATGTTATAGTGTATATAAAATGAAGTTTTGAAAGATATAAAAACGGAATTCTTGGTTTGTCTTTTAGTTTTGTAGAAACAAAAGTATTATTTGTTTTAGTCTTAGGAGAATACGTCACTCGGTCTTATACAACATGCCGTCAGCTGGGATGTGTCAGCAATATGTTGAAATAGTCCACACCGTTTGTATGTGTGTGAAACTGGTCATTAAGTATCTAAAAATCGACCTCAACTTGAAGATCAACAGACAATATTTTAAATCAATATATTTTGTCTGATATATAGGAAGACTGATTTTTTAGGTGAAAAAAAAAAAGATTCATGTTACCATAAAATTGTTTCAAAAATCTGTTAGTTTTAAAAAACTACATTTTCTGAGTCTGAAACATCAGTGAACAATATAACATGTAATAAAATGCTTGTTAATAATTAAAATAAAAATTTGACTGTTTTTTGTAGATTGATATGCCTGAACTTGTAACTGAGCTTATCAACACTACTCAGAAACAACCAACTCTGTTATCATTCGAGTACGTAATTTGTGGTAATCGAAAATCTCATACATTTCACATATCTGTAAAGTTATTATAGTTTTTAAGTCTTCGTAGATATCATAAATATTAAAAGTAGAACTACATCGATCATAGTCAAACTATATTTCATTTTGAAAGATATTCTAAGCTGTATTTGTATACTGACCCTGTTTGAAATTTTGACCAATTGCTGTATGTTTAACCTTAGTCAGTAGTGAGCGTAAAATAATTTTGTTGTAAAGTACTATTTACGTTGGTTAACTAAGTTCATTCGTGTCATTGATTATCTAATAACTTTATATGTTGTAGTCTACATAAACTTGTTCAAAAAAATATGGAAATAGAATTTCTGACTTGTCAACAAATATATAAATTTGAAAGTTTCATGTCTCGTGCATATGGTTACAAACTAATAATATATATATATATATATATATATATATATAAATGAATAAGAACCCGATAACGGTATTGCGATATTTAATTCATTATTGTTTTATAGTGCTAATTTAATCGCTTATAAACAATTAATGTAATCAGTAGTTTGTAAGCTATATATACATGCATGAGGGAGGGAAGGGTATTACAGAACTTTCTAATTACAGACCTTTTAAAGTTGTTGACCTTTTAAGAGATTCTGTTTTGTGATATACGTTTAGACTTTTAGCAGACTTGAATTTAGATCACCTCAGCTGAGTTCAGTCAGATAAGAAAGTACGTCTTTGCAAGAGAAACTATTTTTATATCTGTACTCTAAAACCACAAAGTTTTATGAATATTATTTGTATAGTATGTTTTGTACTTCAGTTGAATGTTCTATAGAAAGTGTGGCTGTTTTATATAGTTTCTATAATAGCAAAATGATTGGTTAATCAGTAAGTCATTCATTTATTATATTTAATTGTAGTAAAACGGTTGGGTTAATGATCTTCAGAGAGAAACGAAAATAACTCCTATATACTGTTTGTTTCAGTCAGCAAAAGCAATCTCTCGACAAAGGTTTTCTACAATAATAATAATAGTTAACATAGATCCGTTAAACTGTAGCGATCAACTTATGAAGCTTTTCAGGATGATGATTGTAAAATTATGTAAGATGAGTTATTGACTGTCATACATAACTTTGTCAAATAATGGATAATTTGTGTTATAAAAACTGACATATGTAACAGTCTTTAGTAAGACCCTGTAATAATAACATCGTCCGCTTAAAGTCACACTATCTTTAGTAAAACCCTGTAATAATAACAACGTCCGCTTAAAGTCACACTATCTTTAGTAAAACCCTGTAATAATAACAACGTCCGCTTAAAGTCACACTATCTTTAGTAAGACCCTGTAATAATAACAACGTCCGCTTAAAGTCACACTATTTTTAGTAAGACCCTGTAATAATAACAACGTCCGCTTAAAGTCACACTATCTTTAGTGAAACCTGTAATAATAACAACGTCCGCTTAAAGGCACACTATTTTTAGTAAGACCCTGTAATAATAACAACGTCCGCTTAAAGTCACACTATCTTTAGTAAGACCCTGTAATAATAACATCGTCCGCTTAAAGTCACACTATCTTTAGTAAGAATCCTGTAATAATAACAACGTCCGCTTAAAGTCACATTATCTTTAGTAAGACCCTGTAATAATAACAACGTCCGCTTAAAGTCACACTATCTTTAGTAAGACCCTGTAATAATAACAACGTCCGCTTAAAGTCACACTATCTTTAGTAATACCTTGTAATAATAACATCGTCCGCCCAGAGAAGCACTGTCAGCTTTTGTAAAACTTATATAAATGAAAACTATAAAATAGCTAGTATAAAATGAAATATTTGTCAATAACAATAGAAAATCATAGTTATATGTTTAGAGGAATAACATATTTAAAACATAAAGCTAAGATAGTGAAACAGTAAGATTGTATGTTATACCACTGCATGATATTTAGAGATGTTATCACGAAAAATCCGCCCTCTTCAGAAATTTCCAAAATTATAATTAGATATAGAAGCGACAACTATAACCAGTTCGTTAAATGTGGTACTAGCATTATCCAGCTCTAGAAACAGTAAAAACTCTCTTGCAAGTTAAATATGGAAACGAACACTTTAGAACTAATGAATTAGTGAAGTGTTTTATTCATAAAATGACAGATAATTGTAAAAAGTATGCTAGGAAATAAGGTAATATATTATTAAATAATAGATGATCCCACGAATTATGCTAACATTGTCCTTAGTAGCATCATATGCCTACAGTAACACTATCCACCTACAGAATCATTCTCCGCCTATGTAAGCGAAAACTATAAAATTAATTAGATTAAAATAACAGATTTAATGTATTATTCATAAAGGTAAACTGTAAGCACAATATTAAGCAAGTTAATAAGTAGGTTTAAGAGTTTACTTGTTATTATAAAGTTGATGTCATGTTGTCACCTTCTAGCATTTCGCTCGTGGACTCCCGGCGCACCCTCTGGTGCCACTTCATGGCCCTAGCAACACACCCTCAGGCGGTATGATAACTTGCGTTTGTCAAAGCGCACGTAATACTTATGTAACCCTCAGGCAACATCCTTTGATCTCCACTTACATAACGACCTCTCACTGAGGCGGCTTTCTTTTGACACAGGGATACCCCCAATAACAAGTGATGATCATTTTCTTAATATATAGTGAGTAGATCCCGGTACATTTCAATTAAATGTCATAAATTAACGAGTTGTTCGTGTCTGACATTCTAGCATAAGCTCATTAGCTGTTGTGAATTTGGAGAAAAGATGTATTGAAAATGTAGCTAAAACATTCAGACTTTTCATGAAGAAGAAAGTATAACTAATAGACACAGTGATATAATTGTGGAAATACAATTACCATAGTGAAGAGATTCATGAGCAAGTTGTGTTCTGAATTCCAACTTTTGAGCATCAATTGTCACGGTGTTAATTTTTGAGTTGGCACATGTTTATCATACACAGAACTCTAGAATAAACGGGAATAAAATTTATCTTATAGCTATTTGAAGTTTAAAGGTCGTTTCTTTCTAGCTTTATTATAAAGTATAAAGTTCTCTGTGCTCTGCCCACCACATATATCGAAACCCGAATTTTAGCTTTGTAAGCCTGCAGACTTACCGCTGAGGGGAGGGGGGTCTAGGATAAAAGCAACAAAACAAACATTATTGAAGTGTCCAGAGACGACTTATTAATTACTTACAGATTGGTTTCAGTAATTCTCTTCGAATGATTACATGTCGACTTTACACCTGTCAGCCATGATCTGCAGGCTTACAATTTACTGCGAAGTATTTTCACCCTTGAGTAGAGAAAAAGAAGGTTGGACTTGGAAAAAATATTTTAAATGGTTTAGAATTAGAAAATATTCCATTAAAATTATGTAATAGGTTATTTCTTAAAGTTTGTATATTTGTTTGTTTTAGAGCAAAGCGAGATTGAACTACTTGCTATGTTCACCGCGGGGAATCGAATCTGTAAATCTGTAGACATTGTATCACCAGGGGACGATTTATTAAATAGAACTAATAAATGATGTGTTAAATAAAGTTACTTGATAACGTATTAAGAAAAATGAGTAAAGATATGTTATTGTCTTCTTAAGAATTTCATACCTAATACCATGTTGCAGGCCATAGACTATAGAGTTACATCCTCTTCAACACTAAAAATTATTCTAATATAATCGATGTTTTCATTGATGAATTTTTTTGTGTTTTTGTAGATGCATCTAGACACAACAATGCAGTTACGTGGCGCCCTCTTTATTACATACTCTTTCATTCTAATTCAACTGACAGGTGAGTTATATGTTAATAAATGATATCTAAATATGTATCATGTAATATATTTTATCGATACAGGAGTTGAGGTTAAAGTTTTTAAACAATCTATAGTTAAACTGTAGCTATATGTTAATAGGTAAGTTGTGAATACACGCATTCATTGTTCGCGTATCGCTCTCCACACTTTGGTGTTATGGTTGCATTATACGAGTGACGGTCAAAACTCACAATTCGGTCAGATAAGAGTAACTCAAGAGATGGTGGTGAGTGTAACTAGCTGCCTTACCTCCGGTCTGTAAGTACAGGATTTAGTGAAGTTTAAAATACACCGAGGGTAAGACATAACTAGTACCAGAAAATTCTAATACAAACAATGGGTAAACAGCGATAGTAAAATCCAAACTTTACTCTTACGTAAGTCATACTTATATAAACGGTAACTGATTGATAGTTGAGTTGTGCTTGTATACTCTCTCGTTGGTTGATATGCGAATTGTGCATGTATACCCTCTATTTGGTTGATATGTGAATTGTGCTTGTATACTCTCTAGTTGGTAGATAGCTAAGTTGTACTTGTATACTTTCTAGTTGGTTGATAGCTAAGTTGTACTTCTATACATTCTAGTTAGTTGATAGCTAAATTGTACTTGTATACTCTGTACTTAGTTGATAGCTAAGTTGTACTTGTATACATTCTAGTTAGTTGATAGCTAAATTGTACTTGTATACTCTCTAGTTGGTTGATAGTCTTGATCGTGTATGTTTCCAACTTATCTTCAATGTACGAGGTGACATAGGTATCCCGGTGTGTGACACAGAAGGCAAGATCCACTTCTCCCTCTCATGTCATTTCCCAGAATGCTCTAAGAGTGCGTTCAAAGTTTCGTAGAGATCTACAGATAAGCACGGAGAATACATGGTAGACTCCAAGGGTTATACATAGATAGGTCAGATCCAAACTTAAATCTCCTTATGTCACTTCCCAACAGTGCTTTAAATGTTGCATGCCATATTTGTTGCAGATCAGTAGAATATCATAGTAAAAATAGGTAGAGGCATAGTAGAAATTAAAACGAACAATGAATCTCACAGATCTGGTTGAGCTGGACAAGAAGCGTAAATAGCACTTCTGCTTTACGTATATAGATTGTTTTGGATGTTTTTAGTTCTTTTTTTAACTCAATATATAGATTTCGTTGGCTAATAGGCGGGTTATATGGCTGTACTATATAGTTAATTTACTGATTTGTAGCAACATCACATACAGTAGCTAACTTGTAGTAGGTTGTCAAGAAAGTAATGTTGTTTAGATGAAAAAACCCGAACAACTTATATATCAAAACAGAACATTTAGTAAATGAAACTCTTATCGATGATGCTTTTCCATCTTACAATCAGGTTGTTAATACCCTGATTAAAGAAATCACTTGGCTTTGAAGCAAAAAACATGTCGATATCCTCTTTAACACCTTTCACATCCCTGGACAATATTTTCACCTTCCTTTCTTTTAACCAAGGGAAGTCGTCTTGGTGATTGCCTAATAAACTGTTTGTTACCCGGATTAATATGATGTTCTGTAATGTAATATAGGTCATTTGATCCTTAGGAGTAAATATCCACTCTGGCTTTAAGTAGAGGTTTCAATTGTTGCTGCTCCTTTGATAAAAAATAGATACAGCATCATTCTTACAAGTTCTGCAGATATATTGGAAGGTATCCAATTAATGTTACTGGTTGGACTGACTGTCATTTCTGTTATTCTGCTGAGGAGTCTATGATATCTACCAGTTTAAACTGTTCAGTTCCTTGCCCATGCTTCAACTTCTGTACGTTATTTGAGAAATATGCCAAAACCATAGGAAAACATTGCTTGTTGGGTGGCATCATAATACGTCTAAATAATACTTCATCTGGCAATTTCGCATGATGGTGTCTCTACACTACACAATTGCACTTTTATTGAATCCAGAACCAGGTGGCGTCACAATAAATTACCATCTCAATCTCAGGAGAATTGGTTTCAGCTCTCTTCACTTTTACCTTCCTAAGAAATTGACACAGCAAACCCCTTGAGCTCTGTTGGTTTATTTGCAGCATTAATTAATTCAATCATGCTGGCAGATATTCCTTTTGGTCTCCTGCAGCTTTTATTGCTTTAGCCCGCATGCTTAATGCTTGCTTCTTTGGTGTAGTCGTGTTGAAATACCTCAAATAATCTCTTGTTTCTTGATTTGAAAAGACGAACTTGGAAGATCTCACTTCTGACACCAAATTGTTATATTGATAAAATTAAATAAAATATAAATATTGTGTGTATTGATTTGAATAACTGGTTCATTAGCCACTTGTACAAAATAGTTCCCAAATAATACGAGCTTGGCATGGAGCTCGACTCGAAATCTGAGACTCGCGGGTTCGAATTTCCATAACTAAAAATGCTCACCCTTTCAGCCGTGGGGGGCGTTACAAAAGGACAGTCAAAGTCAATCCCACTATTCGTTGATAAAAGAGTATCCCAAGAATTAGCGGTGGGTGGTGTTGACAAGCTAGCTGCTTTTCCTCTAATCTGTCTATGCTAGATTAGGGACAGTTAGCGCAGATAGCCCTCGAGTAGCTTACTGCGAAATTCAAAACAAACCAAACCAAACCCAAACAATATCAAACTCAGGTCTAACTACTCAATGTGTTAGGATACATAATCAAGTTATTTCTCTAATACTAGACCCAGACCTAACTACAGAGGTTTAGGCTACATAATCAAGTTGTTTCTCTGATACTACACTCTTGATTGACTCACTGAAGAAACTATAGGATTCTCAATTGCTTCACTTACTGTGCTAAATATCTCTTAATCAAAACTGATTTCAAAATCTAAAACTGATAAAACGAGTATATACGATTTCCTCAAATAACGCTAATGTTTACTGTTTACATCAAATGTTATCAAACGACACTGAATGCATACAGTGCCTTCTCTCAAAAATCATTTACAAGACAGATTATTTTAATACGAAATTTTAACAAATAATAAACTAATTCAGATGCATGTAAAATATTATTTTAATTTCCCACAATAATATTCAATAATAAGAATACAATGCAACCATAAAATATAATCAATATTAGTGCATGTATTACAAAATCTACACAGAATTACAATGGCAACCTAGAATTTAGTAATACTATAATGAAACCATGTATTTTTTTATAGAAAAATACAGCAACATTAAGAAAATCGTATTAAATATAACAAAACAACCATGAAAGTAATAGTATAGTAAGAACAGGTACTTTGGCAATGTAATTATACTAAGGCTTCAGTACAAACCATACAACCTAAATAGATATGTGTAATTATTATACAAGACTTTAATAAATACACTGGAATCAAGTCAAGATTAATATAATGTTGAGTTACACTGAAGATCATGTAGTTAAACTAAAACTGCAATAACTATTGTATCAGGTCGTCAAGAAATTAATGTCGCTTTTTTTTTAGATGAATAACCCCGAACAACTTATACATCAAAACAAAACATTTAGCAAATGAAATAGTCTCCATTCTTATCGATGATGTATTTCCATTTTGCGATCAGGTTGCTAATGTCCTGATTAAAGAAATCACTTGGGTTTGAAGCAAAAAACATGTCGATGTCCTCTTTAACACCTTCTACATTTGCATACGTTTTCCCATTAAAATGGTGTTGCAGCGAACGAAAAAGATGGTAATCTGGTGGTGCCATATCTGGTAAATATGGTGGGTGGGGGAGAATTTCCCAACCAAACTCCACAATCTTGTGTTGCGTTAAACGTGCCACATGTGGACGTGCATTGTCGTGGAGAAGAAAAACACCTTTCC